AATTGATGACATGTGAAGAGTCTCAGAGACCTTTGGGACAGCAGCAGACCTACCAACATACATATATATATTTGTTTTAGGAAGATTGTTTTAGGGAATAAGATGTTTCTTAGTTGACAATTCACGAGGCAGTAGTATCTCAAAGGAGTGGGAAAAGAGATGGAGCTATGTTGAAGCAAGGAGCTGTAATTTATCACAATTAAGTCTAAAATTAACCTGTAATCCTGTTTTCTATAAAGCACCGTAAACCTATATAGCAAATCACTAAGAAATTGCTCCCAAAAAATCAACAGAAGATAAAAATAGTAAACATTAGGAATACTTGTTTAATACGAAGGAAGAGGATCAGAGCAACAAACACCTGAGACGTAAAAGTAAATGGAAAATGGCAGACCTAAATCCAATTATGTGTGTAATTGTATTAACTATAAATGGACTCCAGTTAAAAGAGAGTGATTGTCAGACCAGAATCACTTTAGATTAAAAGACATAATTGGCTGAAGTAAAAGGTTATAAGAAATGTACCATGCAAACAGTAACGGTAATAGAATTGGAGTGGTTATATTAATATCTGATAAAAGATTTTGAGTCAAGAAATATTTCCAGATAAAAAGAAGGACATTTTATAATGATGAGAGGGTCAATGTAATAGGTAGATAAAATGATAATGTATAAACACAACATATAACAACATAGGGCAACAACCATTAATCAAAATCTGACAGAATGAAAGAAGAAATTCTAGCTAACATTTATAGTTTGAGATTTAAATACTGTACTTTCAATAATTGATGGAAAAACAATACAAAAATTTTAAGAGATTGATAGATTTAAAGACTTGATTAGCACTATCAACCAATATGTTCTGAAACTCCCCACCTTCCAACCTACAGACTTCACATTCTTTTCAAAAATATCTGGAATATTCTCCAAGATAGATCATATAATTGTCCATAAGGCAAATCTAAAGCATGGAAATCAATAATAGAATGAAATTATGATATGAAAGAATCTCAAGGATATTAGAAAATATTTTGCATGCAGTGAGCATAGAAATAGAACATATCAGAAGTTATAATTATAGCTATATTATTCTTTAATGGGAAAATTATAGCTTTAAATTCTTATAATAGAAAAGAAAAATGGTCCTAATTTAAAAACCTTAGCTCTCCATCAAGAGAATTTAAAAACAGCAAATTATAATGAAAGCAAGACAAATGAAGTAAATAATAGAAATATGACCAGCAGTCAACAAAATAGCACTGAAATGATGGGGAAAATCAATAGCAGTTCTTTGAAAATATTAACAAATTTGATAAATCTGGTGGTATAGCAAATGAGATTGTTTTCTTAATTTCTTTTTTTTAAAATTAGTGTTTGTTAATAAATAGAAAAAACTGATTTTTAAAAATTCTTACTTTTTTAAATTAAGAGTGCTAATTTTGTATCCTGCAACTTTGTTGAATTTTGTGTGTGTGTGCGTAATCTAGAGAGGAAAGTTTCTTTCTTTAACCATTTGTATGTCTTGTATTTCTTTTCCTTTTTTCCCCCTCTCTTTTGAGTTGGTTGCTATGACTAGACCTCACAATACTGTGTTGAACAGTAGTGCTGAGAGAGGGCATCCTTGCCTTTTTTAGTAATCTTAGAGGAAAAGCTTCCAGTCTTGCCCCATTGGCTGTAATGTTAACTTTGGACTCTGTATATGTGACTTATTATATTATTAAAGATGGTAATTTCCCAGTATTCCTAGTTTGTTGAGTGTTTTTGTCATGAAAGTGGTTGAATTTTGTCAAATGCTTTTTCCGTACTGATTGAGATGATCATGTGATTTTTGTTTTTCAGTTTGTTAAGGTGATATGTATTATATTGATTGATTTTTGTATGTTGAACCATCCTTACATTCCATGTATAAACCTCACTTTTCTTGGTGTATAATCCTTTTAATATGTTGAGTTTGGTTTGACCCCATTTTCTTTTAGATGATTGCATCATTATTCTTCAGGAATATTGATTTGTAATTTTCTTTTTGTCTTTGGTATCAGGGCAAATGAGGGCCTCATAGAAATCTCTTATAATCCATTTTATGTCTGTGACATCAGTTTTAATGGCTCCTCTTTCATTTCTAATTTTAGCTATTTGAATTTTCTCTCTTGTTTTTGTTAGTCTAGTTAAGGTTTGTCAATTTTGTTTTGTTTTTTTTTTTTTAAGAAAGCAAACTCTTAGGAACAAACTTAACCAAGGAGATGAGAGACTTACACACTAACTATAATATGTTGTTAAAAGAAGTGAAAGGCATTTTTCAGGTATAGAAAAGTGGAAAGACATCTCATGCTTGTGGATTTTAAGACTTAATGTTCTTAAAATATCCATAGTACCCAATGTGATATTAAGTGCAGTACCTATCAAAGGCTCTATGACATTTTGTGGCAGTAATAGAGAAAACCATACTAGTATTCTTATGGAATCTGAAGGGACCCTGAAAAGCTGAAACAATCTTGGGGTGAAAAAAAACACTGCTTCACTTTAAATCATATTACAAAGCAATAGTAATTAAGATGAGGTGATACTGGCATAAAGATAGACCAATGGAAAAGAGTAGAAAGTGCAAAAATGAACCCATGCATATACATCCAAAATATTTTTGACAAAGTTGAAAGAAACTACACAGTGGGGAAACAGTCTCAACAAATGAAGTTAGGAAAACTGGATAGCTAATGCAAAAGAATGAAGCTGGGCCCTTACCTTATACCAGATACAAAAATGATTTTAGATTCAACCTGAGACCAGAAACTATTAAACTCCTGCAAGAAAACAGGAGAAAATCTTTAGTACACTGGATCGAGCAATGATTTCTTGCATATAATGCCAAAAGCACAGGTAACAAAGTAAAAAATAGACAAATAGAACTACATCAAACTTTAAAAGTTTTGTGCCTAAAAGGAAATAGCCATGTGAAAAGGCAACCTATGAGGTGGAAGAAAATCATGGTAAATCATATATCTGATAAGGAGTTAATATATAGTATAAGGAATTTCTGCAGCTCAACAATTAGAAAAAAAATAAATGAGCATAGGACTTGAATCAAGACACTTCTCCAAAGAAGATGTAGGCATGTCCAATAAACATATGAATAAGTGCTCAACATCTCTAATCATTAGTGAATCAAAACCACAGTGAAGTATCACCTCCCACCTATCAGGTGATGACCACTATCAACAGAACAGAAAATAACAGTGTTGTCAAACATGGGGAGAAGTTGGCACCCTTGGGAACTTTTGGTGGGAATATACAATGATACAGCCATTATGGAAATCAGCATGAAACTTTCTAAAAACATTGAAAATAGAGTTACTTCCATCTTTATATGCAAAATAATTCAAAGCAGGATCTTGAAGCGACATTTACCCATCGATGTTCATTGTAGCATTATTCACAGTACCCAAGAGGTAGAAGCTATCCAGATGTCCACCACCAGGTAAATGGATAAAGAGAAATGTATATATATGTGTGTATATATATACATGTATACACATATACGTTATATATACACGCACACACATATATACACACACATATACATTCACACACATGCACACAGTGTAATAACATTACACAACCTTTAAAGAGAAGGAAATCTTTTAACATGTTAGAGTGTTGATAAACTTTGAGGCCATTGTGCTAAGGGAAATAAGCCAGTCACAAAGGTACAAATAAATTCTTCCTTTTATTTTGAATTTCTAAAATAGTCAAAGCATAGAAACAAAGTTGAAAGGTGGTCAGTAAGGGTGGGAGGAGGGAAAAAGAAGACTTAGTGTTTAGTGGGTATAGAATTTAAGTTTTGCAAGGTGAAAAAGTTCTAGAAATCTGTTAACAGTGTGAATATATTTGACGGTACTAAACTAAATACTTAAAAATGGTTATAGTGGTAATAAAAAAAAGACCTACAGACAAAAGATTTGACAATCTGCAGCTTGACTGAATTGCAGGTTCTAGCTAGAACAATAAGGCAAGAAAATTAAAGCATTAAGATAGGGAAAGGATGACAAATCAGACATTTCTATAAAATGGATTGTTGTAACAGTACTACCTAAAATATTGACTTGTAAACATAAAATAAGTAACTTTTATTGAATGTAAATTATACCCCTATAAAGCTTTTTAAGTCTAAAAGAAAAATTAACCGTGCCAGTGTAGGACTACTTTTCTGGATTACTTTGGATTAAATTCTTTGTCTGAATATCATGATGCAATATTGGTATAGTAGGTGTTCCCTTTGTAACATTAGTTATGTAAAAGTTTTAATTTATTGAGTTAATTGCTTGCTTTGCAAAATGAATGCATGCTATTTTAAAACTTTTTTCTCTAGGGATCATTGAATAGTGCATTTTCAATAGGCAGATTGTATGGAATGTAAATTGTATTTCGATATGCTTAAAAGAAAATGAAGGAATGAATTTGACATACCAAACTGCCTGTTCTACTGGTAGTATTTTCAAAGAAGCGTTGTGTCTATCTAAAAACTAGAGGTTAAAGACCACAGTGTTTGTACTTTAAGTTAAAAATATTTGTCCATTCCCCTAATATACATATGCCTGTTTGTATTTAACTTATGGTGAGTTTTTTTTTTTTTTTTTTGCTGTTCTGTTCTAGTCATGGGCAAGAGTTTGAGGCCATAACACAATAAGAACTCCTATTCCTATTTTTAGATAAAGCTGTGTAGAGCTGATTTTAAGCTTTTCATTTTTTCTGAACTGAAGCTTGAAGAAATCATTGTCATCTGCAGTCAGGTCAGCCAGTTGTTTTTAGAGGTTATATGATTGATTCACTGGGGGCATTTTACATCTTTTCCTTATTTCTGAAGTGGCATTCTCACCTTGTATTATGAAGAATAATCGTCAAATGTAGCAGAAACCTGTTACTTGGTCAGGGATGTAGTGGTGTTGTGTATCTTCAAGATCAGTATTGGTTAACTTCCATTTGTCTTCTTCCTTTCTGTAAAGGTGCTTGTGAGTGAGGATTCTGACAGTGATGGCATCGTGGCCCATTTCCCTGCTCATGAAAAACCAGTGTGCTGTATGGCTTTTAATACAAGTGGTATGTCCTTCCCCTCGCCCCTATTTATATTATGAGTTTTCTACCCAATTTTTTGGAAATGGAAATATGAAATATATGTGTTAGGGTATATGACATAAGTAAGTAGTTTTCAGTGATTATTGAATGAATGAATTTATACTAAAAATTTAGACACCCTATAAAGATTAATTTTACTGAGTAAAGTTGTGATTGAGTGGTAAAGATAAATAATAGATACATAAACAAATAATAGACACATAAACAGTGCTGTTGAATTGCATTTATTTCTGTGTTATAAGGCAAGGACTTTAATATTCGAAACTACTTATGTATGTGAATGGCATTTTCTCTGTAACTACATGTTTCTTTTAAACAGTACAATGAGATGTCATGTTGATTAAACAACACATTTTATATAATGTGTGTGTATGTATTTTGCTAAACTGTTTGAATGTAAGTTATATATGTGATGACATTTCACCAACTACACATTAAGCCTACATTTTCTAAGAGTAAGGCCCTTGTACTTTGTAACCAAATAGTATGTTATATTCAGAAAAGTAGCACGTTGTGTTATCTAAAATCCAAGTCATCATTTAAAATTTCCCAATGAGAAATGAGTTCAACAAAGAGTTCCCTAACTGATTCAAATCAAGATCTAATTAAAGTTCACTCCTTATGTTTTGTCTCTTTGTGAGTGAGTGAAGTTGCTCAGTCGTGTCCGACTCTTTGCGAGTCCATGGACTGTAGCCCGCTAGGCTCTTCTGTCCATGGAATTCTCCAGGCAGGAATACTGGAGTGGGTTGCCATTTCCTTCTCCAGTTTATCTCTTTAGCTCTTTTTAATCCAATTTATAGCTTTCACCTTCCCACCCCTACCCCCCACCCCCAAGTTGCAGTGTCCAGACTAGTTATCTTGTCCAAATTCTGCATTTGTCACATATTTTTTTCATTATAATAATGTTTTCCTTTTTTTCCTTAAAGACTTTTAAATCCATTCAGGCCTGAAGATTATTTTTTTCAAACTTCCTATGTATTGTTGTGTACATCCTTTCATCCTAGCAGGAGGTACATTATATCAGGCTGTCTTGTAATTTATGATACTACATTTGATCACATGAATAAGTTAGTGACCATCAAATGTCTATATTTTGAAAATAGGTTCTCACGTGGAGATTAGCAAGTGCAGAGTTATTTTGGCCTCATTTCTTGCTTTCTTTTTTTTAAAAAAAGTAATTTATTTATTTAATTTTTGGCTGTGCTGGGCCTTCGTTGCTGCACAGGCTTTTGTCTAGTTGCAGTGGGTTGGGGCTAATCTCTAGGTATGGCGCACGGGTTTCTCATTGCAGTGGCTTCTCTTGTTGCAGATTACGGGCTCTAGGCTCGCGGGCTTCAGTGGTTGCGGTTCCCAGGCTCTAGAATACAGGCTCAGTAGTTGTGGCGCACTGGCTTAGTTGCTCTGTGGCACATGGGATCTTCCCAAACCAGGTATCGAACCTGTGTCTCCTGTATCGTCAGGTGGATTCTTTACCATGGAGCCAGCAGGGAAGCCCCTGGTCTCATTTCTGAAACAACTTTTTACTAAATAGTTTTGTTATTATACATTGAAGGCTATAGAATGGTGGTTTTTCTATCATCTTTTCAGCATTGATTAACTTCTGTTAATTCTATTTAAAGAAAGAGTTTTCTCTTACTAAGCAGAAATGAGCCACAGTTTTCCTGGATGTGAAAGGCAGGGTAAATATGTAATACTTCCTCTTTAACTACCAATTTTCATAGTTAGGAGTTGGTTTAATACTTCCAGTGGTGGAATTCCACTCCAGTGGACTTATTTTAAAAATACTTTGGTTATGAATAAAAGATAAAATTGCTCTGATGCTTTCAGAGCTGAAATAGTCTTCATTAGTTTGTGAACTTTTCCTTGCTTGGTGGGTCTGAGGAGACTGCCATTTCTTATTCTGCAGAATATTAGTTAAAACTGATGGAAAGACCCATCTTTTTCTTCCTTTTCATCTTTTCAGATCAAGAATGATCATAAGAGGATAATATTTGAGTAATCTTCCTCCTCTGAATTAGCCATGTTCAAGGGAGAGGAAGATTTTGTAGTAATTGTTCATCAGTGCATAGATTTAATTAATGAAGACAAAGATTTATTGAAATGCTCTGAATGTTGTGGGATTTAAGTTGAATTTGAAGAAACAATCTGGAAGTTATGTCACTTATAGTACTCTTCTTAGAGTAACCAGTATGACTCATTTTTGATAGGCCATCTGTTATGTCAGATCTCCTTTGTGTTAATCTATGTCTCATATGGCCAGAGTTGGGATGCTTCGGACATTTGAAGTTGTATTTTTTCCTGTCTGTGAATCTTCATTGTTATAAAAACAACTTATATAACTTAGAGCATATTGTAGTTACCTCTGTCATTGTGTAGCAGTTGGTTCTAGAAGACCATAGATTTCTGTGATTTCATAGTTTTGTTCTACATTTGCCATTTGATTACTGTTTTAACTCCCAAATTTATGTTTTAATGGAAAGGTTAAAATTGTTTATGTTTATACTTAAAATTTTAATTTAGGTATAGTTGGTTTACAGTGTTTCAGGTACACAGGAGAATTATTCAGTTGTATAATATATGTATTCTCTTTCAGATTCTAGTGTAGGTCATTACAAGATATTGAATATAATTCCCTCGGCTGTGTAGTAGGTCCTATACTTCTCTGTGTTCCTAGCATGTTAATTGTATAACTGTATAATTTATCTTGCAGTAATCATTTCTTTAAATATTTGTTTGCTAACCTGTCTGTTCCAGTTTATATTAGGATTCACTCTTGGTGTTGCACATTCAAGGTTTTGATAGATAATGACATGTAGCCACCATTATAAGGGCTTCCCTGGTGGCTCTGTAGGAGACATGGGTTTGATCCCTGGGTTGGGAAGATTGCCTGGAGAAGGAAATTGCAACCCACCCCAGTACTGGTTCTTACTTGGGAAGTATATGGACAGAGGAGCCTGGTGGGCAGCAGTCCATGGGGTCACAAAGAGTTGTCATGACTTAGTAACTAAACAGTGACAGCAGCAACAATCCATCATAATAGTACTATACAGAATAGTTTGAACAGTTGAACAAAATCCCTGTTGCTCTGCCTGTTCATTCCTCCTCCTCTCAATTCCTGACAACCACTGATCTTTCTTCTCTTTCCATATTTTCAGAATGTCATATAGTTGGAATGTTACATGATTAGCCACTTCACATCGGCTTCTTTCACTTACTAATATGCGTTCAAGTCTCCTGTGTCTCTTCATGCCTATATTGCTCATTTCTTTTTAGCATTGAATAATATTCTATTGTATCATACTTTATTTGTCATCTGTATATATTATTTACTGAGCAGTCTGTATCTTTTGTCCATTTTTAAATTGGTTTGTTGGTTTTTTGATTGTTGAATTTTAAGTGTTCTTTGTATGTTTTAGATAGCAGTCCTGTATCAGATACGTGTTCTATAAATATTTTCTCCAAGCCTGTGATTTGTTTTCTCATTCTCTTGAAGTAGTTTTCGAAGATCAAAGTATTTAACTTTAATGAAGTCCATCATCAGTCATTTCTGTGACTGATTTTTCCTTTGATATGTAATGCTTCAACACATGTAAATCGACGTTTTTGTACTGTCGTATCTTTATTCAATCTCACGCCGAATCTTATAATCTCTTGGAAGAAAGAGAATTTTATGAGACTTGTTAGTATTCTTTAAAAATTTATTTATTTTGCTGCTCTGGGTGTTTGTTGCTGCGTGTGTGCTTTCTCGAGGTGCAGAGAGAGGGCTCCCTTCTGGTTGTGGTTGTGGCTTCTCATTGTGGTGGCTTCTCTTGTTGAGGAGCACGGGCTCTAGGGCGTGCGGACTTCAGTAGCTGTGGCTCATGGGCTCTAGGTTAAGGCTCAGTAATTGTGGCACACAGGCATGGTTGCCCCTCGGCATGTGGAGTCTTCCCAGACCAGGGGTTGAACCCATGTTCCCTACGTTAGCAGGCGAGTTCTTAACCACTGGACCACCAGGGAAGCCTTGATATTTTATGAGTTTTAGGATCTCTTACATTTCTTCTTAAATCTAAAATACAGCTTCTTAACCTGCGTCTGAGAGGTCCATGGAGAATATTTAGAGAGTTATGTGAACTTAGGAAAAAAATTGCATCTTTATTTTCTTTACTGAAAGTGAAAAGTGAAAGTGTTAGTCCCTCAGTCATGTCTGACTCTTTGTGACCCCATGGACTGTGGCCCCCCAGGCTTCTCTGTCCATGGGATTCTCCAGGCAAGAGTACTGGAGTGGGTTGCCACGCCCTTCCCCAGGAGATCTTCCCAGCCCAGGGATCAAACCCAGGTCTGCTGCACTACAGGCGAAATCTTCACTGTCTTAAGCTGCCTTCTTTAACCTTTAATGAAAATTCTTTCACTTATCAATATGTACAATAAACTACTGAAATATTAGCTTTTTTGTGAATTTGTAATATAAATAATGGGTATTTTCATACCATTTTGATGTTATTTACATAATTCTCTAATTAATGCTTATGGTTCAAAATCATGACAGAGCCTGTATTTTAACATATTACTATTAATAAAACATATGTTCTACTGCATGTCAGTTTTAATAACCCTAAGTATTTTACCTTGTCTTTAAAAAATATTCTGAGAAAGAGGTTCTTAGGCTTCATCATATTGCTGAAAATTTTCACGGCACTAAAATGTTTATGGGCCCATTTATGCTTTCACTTGTTTCAGCCTAACACATCGGAAGCTAGACTTCATTCACAGTGCCTGGTTCAGTCCCTGCTTATGGAGTCTGCTGGTGGAATAGGGACTTAAAAAAAAAAGAAAAAAGGAAGACAAGTCCTTTGTGGAGCAAGGACAGAATGCTAGGAGATTCTGAATATTAACTTGGAATTTTGCTTTTGGGGAAAGTTCTTCAAAAGAAAGCCAGTTCTAAACGGGAGCCAAAAGACGATTCGTTAGGAAAGAATGATTCA